GTGGCAGGGGTGGGGCCGGGTGGGGAGGGGCTGGTCACCCCGTGGTGCCCTTATAAAACTCAACGTTTAACCTACTCACGCCGGCTTGTGCCCGCCCTCACAGTCGGCCATATTTGCGGAATACACCACGCCGCCGTTGACCCTGGCCATTGACCGAGCAACCCAACGTTCCTACCAGCTCCCTCCGCAGGAATGTGTTTATTAACTTTTTTCTTCTTGGTTCTTTCGTGTTTATAAACTAAAATGTAGTTGCAATAAGTAGTTGACCATTCAAAAGGTCTATAAACATTTTTTTTTTACTTTACCAGGTAAGGCCCACTGAGCTATATAGCTCTTGTTCAGAAAGGACCTGACCAAAATGATAGCTCAACGAAGTGTTTTTTTAACGTGGAAATTTAGAGCAGCCAAATACTCAAAATGCATGACGTTGATTCTAATGTGGAGGGACAAACCGGAGGACCCGGAGAAAAATCCACGCGCCCACCGGGAGAGAGACACGCAAACTCCAAATATACAGCAAGCGTCAGGGTCGGGATCGGGATCGAACCCGCGACCTCCCACATACCAGGCGAGGGAGTTAACATCTCGCCATCACGGCACCCCGAAGTAACACTGCATAGCATGCTACTAGGTTATAACCTAATCACGAAACATTCACCTACGCTAATATTGCGGTGTTTTTCTGTAGCCCAGAAGTTTACTTTGCATTTTCTTGTCCGTAAGTAGGGTAAGACGGGGAACAGCTGACGTTTGTTTGTTTACGTAGTGTATTCACGCGGTCATTTTAAGTGTCCCATGAATGTAAGCAATGTGTCAAACTTGTGTGGGCCGAGCATGTAGTTTTCACTGCTGTAATTCACACTGTTGAGTTCACAGGCATGGAATATGAATTCTAGATTTGAAGCTTTCGTGACTGCAAGGATTCATACTCTTAGTTTTTTCGGTAATGTCACGTAGGTAAAAAATGAAATGAAAATTTATATTATTTTATTTTTATTAATTTTAATTTCATTCTTTACCTACGTGACTTTACCGAAAAAAATTAAGAGTATGGAATATGAACCCTCGCTGACTTCACTGATCAAGAGCACTACCCCCCACGATGTGATTATGATAGCACAGTGGCACCATTCTTTGTTACGCGCTCCTGTTGAAGTTTTGGAGTCACCTTTGTTAAATGCATTTGCGTGCATGCATTATTTATGGTTAACAACACGCGCAACAATACATAGGGACGGAGAAATTGAAAGGAACATCGTTGGCAAGACTGCTCACAGCTGAAAGGCTTTTTCCATATTTTTCTGCTAATGGATGCAGTTTTATTTTTTTTACTAACTTTAAAGGACACCGGTAATTGTCCGGCACAAAGACAGTTTTTTTTTATGTTATTGGAGTCTTCACTGTCAAATACTGTCCCTTGTCGCCTGTGTGTTTAGTGCTGTGTGCTCTAAAAAGACGACGATAACATTACCCAGAGTATAATGTGTCACTGGTGATTGCATAACCACTTCCCAATAAAGACTTTTCGAAAAAGAAAATGGTATGACATCTTATTTTTAATTCTCTTTGTTGAACTCTCCTTTCTGTTGATTATCCCAGCCTTTTGTGCCGTCTTGTCAAACGAGCGGCGCTGTGACGGAGCCAGGAGATGACAGCGTTGAGTGTTACCGCTTGTATCCGTAGATCTGGTTTCTTTCCCACATGAAGTCGAGCTCTCTTGAATAGTTTTATCCAAGCGTGTCATTTAAGACCCTCCCGAAAACTCCGTCTCTCGAGTTGGCGAAGCATTGCTAGATAATAAATTATTGCCAACGCCGCATTTGCCGTGAGGCTGCTGCTGTGGTGTGATGGTTAGCACACTGGATTTGCAATCAATATCCTGGCGCGGCAGTTTAGATGATGGGCAAGTGTTTTTTAAATCCTTTATATTAAGTTCACTTGCTTGCTTGCTTGCGTGCTTACGACCGTGCAAATCTTTCAGTCGTTTTTTAACCCACTTCCCGTGATCCAATCGAGCTGACATTTTGCACACAGACTCATTGTGCGTGACAATTTATTTTCGTGAAAATTTTTGTTCCAAAATTTTACACTTTTTAGGAAAAAATAAATTATATTTAATTACCAATTGCTTAATGGTGGCAGGCAATCATCTGACCCATAGGTGGCAGCCATCTCAAGCCAGAGGACGAGAGGACTCTAGCCGTCACGCATGCAGGGTAAATGGCATGCGTACCCACGGCACGGTCAATCGGCAGGCTGTGTGCGGTGGGGTAAAATTGTGGGTGCTCGCACGTCTTCCCATAATTCTGGCCGGAAAAATAGAGTAGGCCACATTGGCAATATTCGTATTAGTTAATTAATGCTTTGGGGGTTCAAAAGATAGTGCTGACTTATGCATTGCCACAGTGACGGCTAAAGATTGCACTATTCCCTTCTGGTGCCTGAATCGTCCGATTCGGCCTGAATAAAAAAAAAATTGCACAATTAACACCATTGGAACCTCCTTTGTCAGTAGCAAAATATGATAATTGTATTTTTACCCTTTTATCTGGCAACAAAACTGACAACTTTTTTACAAGGAATCATGTTTGCATTGACCAAAAACCTACGGTCGGAATGCAAACAAAAACACAACTATGATAATGTATGCACTGTCCTTGAAATTGATTGGTCCACACACGAGACAGATTTTTTTATAGATGATACTTGGTTTTTTTGCCTTTTATCCTTTTTATCCAATGGTGTAAATGCTTACCCCGAGCTCTCATACTCTGATGGTGCATTGTTTTTGAGTTGTGCGCCTTTTGGCGTTATCTGGTCCAACACCATGTGAGACTAGGCTCTAAGAAAAGCTGTCTCGGGTGTGGACCAATCAATTTCAAGGACAGTGCATACATTATCAGAGTTGTGTTTTTTGTTTGCATTCCGACCGCAGGTATTGTGGTCAATGCAAACATAACACCGTGTCAAAAAGGTGTCAGTTTTGTTGGCAGATAAAAGGGTAAAAAACAATTTTCAACGCACTATTTGTTATTTAATTATGTATCATCGTCATCAGCAGCAGCCGTGATCAATCTACTGCTAGATGAGGAACCTCTTGAAGGCCCTCATCATCCATCATGAGCCCGCGATGGAACAGTCAAATTAGCACCGTGCACACGGGCTGATTGCAACCCTCCGTGTCTTTCGGTCGACGTCCTTCCCACGTGTTTTCATCCCTTTTGGCTGTCACTCCGCTCTGATTCTTGACCATATCAGCCGTCACCCCGTCTAGCGACGCTTACTATCCAAGCTCACACACTTTGATTCGTAGAACCGCGTGTTTAACCTGCCCTCGAATCCACGCGCTCCCTTTTTCCGTTTCTCAATTATAATTCCCCGAATGCAATTTACACCAATACTGTATTTATTTTTTTATTTTGCAGAGGAAAGGACTGAAAGTAAAACCATAATCTCGCCCCACCTCCATGTCCTTTGTCCGAGACAATCGACGCAACAACAAAAATTATTGACAGCTGACGCTGTGTTTTTTGTGTGTACAGCAAGTCCACAGCTACCAACCCGAGCCTTCTTTCACCACTACCTCATCTCTCATCCCCCTCCCCGCCCCCATTCACCCCGGTCACCCCCTCTCCACCCCGAGGCTTATACTGGTCACTGGTGAGGAACACACAGTACGGGGGAGGGAGTGAGGAGGAGGGTAGGACGACGACACGCGGTGGATACGGAGCGTCAGGTGGTTGGGCCACGGCTCAGATCGTGTGTGCAAATAACGAACAGGAAACGCAACGCACACCGGGACACCCACCCCCCACCCCACCCCTCCCCGGCTCGCGTCTCTAGCGACAACCTGTCATAAAACATTCAGGTCTCTCTCCACGCAGCCCACACACAAGGAATCAACAATGCGGGCATTTTTTTTAAAATGAAATATTTACAATGGCAAAACAATGAACGATTGAGACACGATTTACAAGACAGGGCTGTCTCGTATCGTTCTATATTATGCATTTTGATGAAAAAAATCTACCGTGTATGTATGTTGAACTTCTTTCGCACCGTACGTACGTATGGTGTACGTGTACAGTATACATGTAAGATATGGAGCAGTGGCACAGCGGTTAGCGCACAGCACCGTGAAATCCAGAAATCTGAGTTCAATTCCCAACCAGGGCTCATGTCACCAGTTCGTGACATCGGAGCTGGTCCTGGGATCCGACTTCACCACCACGCACTGAACCAGCATGGGGCCCGTGGGGGATATTTCGACCTGACCTCACCACGCTGGTCAATGGAGGTTGGTGAAGGCAGAGTGGGCAGAGAAGTTAAAACAACAACAATTTTGTTTGCTGTGCTGCCGTTTTACTGCTCACGAACATGGTAATTCACATTGAATATTTTTTTCACTCCAAAGTAAAAAAAAAACACTCCTGAAGAACCGAGCACAAAGCTAGTACTTGAACACACACACAAGTACTGTTTAATTTTTATTTTAGCCATTATAATAATACTATAAACCATTCATTCACCCACCCGTTGTTCACGTCAACTCTAGTTAATATTAAAATATCACACAAAACATCACGGTAATACCCCTCCAACAAAGCGCCGTTTACCGAATTATCTCGCTTTTTCTCTCTCTCTCTCTCGTACGGATGACATTTCGTGTTACACATTTGACCCAGTTTCAAATCGATGCCTAAGTTCGAAAGCTAAGTTTGACGGCATCGCGAGATAGCCGCGGTGGGGGGGAGGGGAGGGTGGTGAAGCCTGGTCCCACTCAAAACCCCTTTCCCCGAGAATGAACGCGCGTACAGGGATCGCTGGCTGGGCAATCGAGTTTTTTGGAAGTTGCTCATTTTACTACGGCCGAGGGGGGGGGTGGGGAGGCCCAGTTTGAACTTGCCATTGGGCCGTGCGGCTGTGAAGGGGGTGGGACCTCCATCATCATCATTGTCACCGAGCCCTTGGCTCTACTCCCCCCCCCACACACACACAAACACCGCCTCTCCCACGTATCTCACTCGCGTGCGATACTCAATAAGAATCACGTTGAAGGGTGGCCCAGGTGAGTCACTCGACGTGCCGCACACAGCCACGGCTTGCGTCCCTGTTCCCAGGTGGCGTTCCCTGGCTCCCCCCACCCAGCATCTCTCGCCCCCCCGACATTCCTGCCGAGAGAGACATCATCCAGTGGGAGGGGGGCGAGTCGTGAGTATATCCCTCGCAACGCTGCGCACGCGACGTCGCTCGAACGCGGTTGATTTGATAATCCGCGCCACCACCACCACTTTGTGTTAAGCCGCTTGTAATAATGTACACACGTTGTGCTGTGTATCCTCCACGGCGACGCTAATGCTGTACTTTATGTATATATGTTTTTTTATTGCGTTGGTAAAGTGTTGCTACGAGCCGGAAAACCACGTCTGGCAGAGGAGGTCATTTTGGCTATATCAACATGCGGCAGTTCATGGTTGAGGCATGCTGATGAGCTCACTGAAAGTCGAAGCCGGGGCGAGAGCGTTGTGTCGGACCAATGTTGCAGACGTTATGCACGTTGTGCACTCCCCCAGAAGGCCCGATGGCTTACGAGATGCGTGCAAAAATTTATATATTTTTTGCATGTACAAAACATTACTTTTTGTTGTATGCGGAGAGACATGCGAATAAGTTTCAGCTTATTTTATTTACTACGCGGATAATCCCGGTTTTTGTTTAGCCAGTCACCTGTATATTTCGCAAGGGAGATTCCGTGGTGCGAGAGCACAGCAGCGACAAAGTCAACGATGGCAGAGTGTTGCAGGGAACGAGTACAGGTCTCTTGAAGAATATCGCACGAACTCACAAACGCGGCGTTTTAACGGCCGTAAAAGCCAAACACGCGTGCATCGGTAACGGCGTGAGCGCAATGCGAAATGTTAGGTACGGGTGCAGGTAAGCTCCGATATATTTTAGTCTTAACAAAGACGTGAACACCTGAAAATGGGGGTAAAAGACGACGTCAACAGGTAGGAGGAGCAAGTGGCGCCAGAAGATGTTAGGTGCACAGTATTCTGTGTTTGGGTTTAAGTGTGAAGTGAAGAGGGGGGAGCGATGGGATGGAAGCAAGCTGGAGATGAGCGGCAAGGGGTATTCCATGAAACGTGGAGCAACAAGGGGGAAAAACCTTTTACCGAACAAAATTTTATCAAACAAATTTTTTGAAGGGATAAACAGGTAACTTCTGAAGCTACGGGAGGGAGTTGGAGAAACTAAGCGGTCGCTTTGGGAGGATTTGTTGAAGCGGATCTCTAGGAGGCGTTGCCGTATATTTATTTGTTTTGGTACTAACCCAAGTTCATCCCTCGAGCTTGCGATCATCCCATACGCGCCTCCGAACCTCGTCACGGCCTGTGCGAGGGTGGCTTGTGCAGCTCACCAAACACCAACACACGGGAATGTGTCACCTTGGCCGAGTAGAAATTGCAAGGCCAAACCCATACACAAGATGACATTGATCAGTGATAGCTTCGCTTGGGAAGTTGTGTGGCAGGTTCGTTCAATGACGGTAACTTTTTTTCAGAAATGTACAAACAAATTTTTACGGTATTGTCCGTAGAATGACTTAACTTAGAGAATACTCATTCGCATGGAAAAAAGTCGCGCTACATTCAGGCAGGTAATACTAGGCTTAAGTTAAACCTCGTTACTTGTGGTCGAAATGAGCGTGCAATTTAGAGACAGCGACAACTCCACGATCTCAAAGTCACGTAAGTGTTTTGCGAACGAATCGTCGACCAAACAGTTACGATTCCACGACACGCTGGTCACACTTTTGATGACATTCCACGCACGCATGTTGATTACACTTTCCGTCACTCGCGTCGCTTTTTATTGACGGCTTTAAACAAAGCGTGATCAGTGCAGGGCCCTCATGCCGTGTGGAATTCCCGAGGTGAAATGAAACGCTGTTGAAGACGAGCGCGTGGACTTTTTGGAGTCGCGTGCCGTGCGTGCGTGCCTAGCCATGGCTTAGCGGTTTAGCGCACTGCGCTAAGACATCATCAGTGGGTTAGGGCCGCGACACATTTGACACCAATCGGTTTTCACAGCAGCACAATGATGATGGGGAGGGAGGGGGGGTTGGTGTGTTCACCATTTGTGTTTTGTCGGGGGCCGCGCTCAAGGCCACGAGGGGACACCAGTGACCCGCGGGCCTTGCTGGCGTATGTTGAACTTCGTTCGCACCGTACATGGCCAAGCGCACTAATCGGAGGTTTCTTCATAGGCACTCGCTCGCAGCACTTACCCCAACTATCTATGAACGTCGTACTACTCAGATTGTAAATGTTGTGGATTTACTCTCCAACGCGGCCGGCGTGGTGTACTAGTAACGAATTGGCACGTTCTGTTTACGTAACACAAGCTTACGAATTGGCTGTGTCGGGTGGTGGCGGGTTTAACAACACGTGTGTTTATATTTACCCAATCTACCCCCCCCTCTCTATTATGGATAACTACCCTGCTCATTGAGCGTGCTAGTTGTTGGTGTGAGCAGGTGCACACGGGGAACAAGCGACCACTGGCGACAAAAAGGGTCGCGCTCTCTCTTCCGTTCTCTCCTCCGCTCCCTCCTCCCTGTCTGTCCGCATGCCCCCCCCCCCCCCATCATGAGACAGAGGCGTGCGTGAGTGCGTGCGGGCGGGCGGGGTTCCAGTGCGTGGGGTGAGGTCGCGGTTGGTCGTAGAGACGCACCTCGCAAACTCGCTTGGGAAATATTCTTAGGTTTTTTCGGTAAAGTCACGTAGGTAAAAAATAAAAATTAATAAAAGTAAAATAATTTACTATAAAAGTAAAATAATTTACTTTTATTAATTGAATTTTTTTTCCTACGTGACTTTACCGAAAAAACCTAAGAATATGAATCCTTGCAGTCACGAAAGCTTCAAATCTAGAATCGCTTGGGAAACATCGGGAGTTACACCACCACCACCCACCCCCCTACTACTACTCTCTATTCTCCCCCCGTCTACCCCCCTCCCCTCGCCCCCGCCTCTGGCTCTGGAATCCAGCACGCATGGCAAGCAGCGACAAGCTGTGGCCCAGGCAGAGGAGGAAAAAAAATCCTCAAACGATCGCAGTGAGTAGGCGTCAGTTGGCTTTTGGGTGGTTTTTTGTTGTTGTTGTTAAACCGCTGGCGGATTGTGGTAACTCCTGGACCGCAAGGGCCCGTTGACAGCTTGACGAGAGAGTTTTCTGCACGTTTTTTTATAATTTATAAAGTAGCTTTTCTTAAACGCCAGTATTTGTGAATCACCAACAACTGACCTCGTCAAATTGTATCATCCTAGTTTAACACGTAGGTTTTCGCGACCGATATCAACCATAACGCAGGTGTTGTGGGTTAGATAGCGTAAATATATAAATGTGTCGTTAAACCCGCCACCACCCAACACAGCCAATTAGTAAGGGTTGTCACGTAAACAAAACGTGCCAATTCGTCACTAGTACAGCACACCGGTGTGTTGGAGAGCAACGCCACAACAGATTTGGCCGTCCGCCTGATGAAGCTGGTTGTAATTACTAGCGAAACGTCGTACTCAGATTGTAAATGTTGTGGCTTTACTCTCCAACACACCGGTGTGCTGTACTAGTGACGAATTGGAATGTTCTGTTTACGTGACAACCCTTACTAGTTGGCTGTGTCGGGTGGTGGCGGGTTTATTGACACATTTACATATTTCTGCAATCTAACCCAAAAATCCTGCATTATGGATTTCATCACCCTCCGTTACATTGTTACACTCCCTCTATGTGTGCCTTATGAACACGTCCCATGTACACGCATACACATACACACAAAGGGTGTGGGGGGGGGCGGTGTAGGTGCGGAGCATTGGACTTGCCCTCTAGCTTAGAGGTCAGCCAGTTTGATCATCTGGCACGGGCAGTTGAGGCAACGTCCGCGGTCTCCCCCGTCGCCTCCGTGTTCACTCGCAGCAGTCGGTAAAAATAAAAAGGGGCATCCCGCAGCCGATGGGCAAGTTGGTTTGCACGATATGGTGGTGGGGTTACTCCCAAGATGCTTGAGCGGCGTTGGAGAAGTGGGTAAAATCAAGGCCTTAGCCATTGAATCAACATTTGGGGGGGGGGGACAATTCTTCCAGGGGGTCTGGGCCCCCCCCCCCCAGAAAAATAATCTAAATTTGATAAAAAAAATTCACCAACACAGGATGGACTTTTTTTTTACAATAATGTCGAATAGTGTATTGTATTACATTGCTCTGTTTATTTTCTTTTTTACCTTTTCTTGTTTCATTGTATATAATGGCAGAGATTAAGGATTAATAAAATACAACCATAATCACAATCATATAACAGAAATCTATTTTATTGCAATACATTGGGGGGGGACATTTTGAGCATATTTGAATATTGGGGGGGGGGGGGTGTGTCCTCCCCAATATATATTATAATTACGGCCTTGGGTAAAATACCTGCCCCCAACTCCACAGAGAATATATAAAAATAGAGAAGAATTCCTGTAAAAATATGTTTTATACAGAGCCAAGGGTCACGCTCAAGTGAGCATTTAGAGGCAGTTACTCATCTGCTGTCGACAGGCTTGAGCCAGGGATGAAAGTTTTACATTCAAATGGCGGTAGGATGAGACACTGGTGACGACTCCCCACGAAGTATAACAAAAGTGTATCGACCTCAGGGGGATGATGGGGCTGAGTCCACCACCCCACCTCAACCAGGAGTTGAACTCTGCAAACCTTCCGTTTACGAGCCCGCTCGCTTTAAACTATCCTTTGTTTTATATTACCGGCTAAGGCCCACTGAGCTATATAGTTATTTTTATACGCGAACCTGGCTTTCACATACGACTGCTCAACGAAGTTACTTTTCGCGTGGTAATTTATAGCAGCCAAATGCTCTAAACGCATGTTTATAAATGTGGAGGGTAAAACCGGAGGACCCGCAGAAAAATCCACACGATCACGGGGAGAGAGACACGCAAACTCCAAATATGCAGCAGGCATCAGAATTGGGATCGAACCTACGACCTCCTGCACGGAAGGCGAG